AACACCACCTCCTTTCCCCTGCCTCCCGCTCTCCCCTGTCCCCCCAAAACCATCGGTCCCGTTGTTTTCTCCTCCAGACTATTCATCCAGCCTCTCTTATCTAGATAGACCTGCATAGATAATAATATGCACCAAGAAACAAGGCATAACAAGACAAAGCGACAAAAGAGAACAGTGATGACAACAAAAAAGAAAACCAATGACCCAGAGAAGAATAAATTATTTTTTAAAAAGAAAAAAAATTTATTTTAAAAAGAAAGAAAAACCTGTAAATAGATCAAGGTCTGATTTTTTACCGCTAGGCCTGTCCTCCAGTCAAGTCCGATGGGGTGCCACGCTGTGGCCCCAAAGTCTATCCTTTGCACTCCCTCGGGAGCTCTCTCTTCTGCTCCCCTCGTTGCTGTGCTACACGCCTTTAGTGTTTTGCCTTGGTGTTGCGGGGTCAGACCGGGCCAGTGTTGTCCCCCGTAGGGCCATGGGTCAGCAAAGGACATCGTGTCTCATACTAGGATTAGCCATACGGTCCACTCTGTGCATTGGCTGTTCAGAGTGGGGATATCATCCTCCAGGTCTCATGGGCCAGGATGTGCTCCACTCTCTCTTCCTCCCCCTTCATTTGCTCCCATGTACTCTGATCAGACATGTCCCTCTCCCTGAGCTGCAGCTTCAGTGCCCTCCTCAAAAGTAAATTCTTCTGGGGGGAGGGGCGATTTTCCATGTAGCTGGTATAGGGACAGAGCCCTAAGGACCCTCTACTGACTCCCTTCTCCATGCTGGCAAGCTGCATTCGCATCCCAGAACACCAGATTTAATTCTGATCCCTTTTTCCCTGTGGAGACACAAACAATACCCTCCCTTTGGGTGGGTCATTCCCCTATTCCCCTGCCACACATCTCTTTTTTTTTTCATTTCCTTCCCCCACTCCTTTTTTAGTTGACTACCATATGTACCCCTGGATTTGGTCTGGACCCTGCCATATTACCTGGACCTCACCCCTGGAGTGTTTGTATACAGTAGCTTTTCCCCTGTGCCCCGTTTACATTTTTCTTTTCTTTTCTTTTTTAATGTAAACTTACCTCAGCCGGACTCATGTTGTACTTGTCCCTTTGTGGGTGGCTTACTTCACTTAGCATAATTTCCTCCAGTTCTTCCCATCCGGCGATAGGATTCACGCGTTTATCACTGCTTTTTAGTGATGCATAGTACTCCATTGTATGTATGACCACAGTTTTTTAATCCACTCGCCTGTTGATGGAAATTTGGGTTGTTTCCAACCTTTGCGATTGTGAACTGTGCCGCAATGAACATTGGAGCACAGATGTCTGACAGGTGGTTTGTTTCTTGCCTCTTCTGGGTATATGCCCAGTAGGGGGATTGCTGGGTCGTATGGTAGCTCAATTTCCATCTGTTTTAGAAATCACCAAATTGATTTCCACAGTGGCTGTACATACCTACAAGTCCACCAGCAGTGGATGAGAGTTCCTATCTCACCACAGTCCCTCCAACACTTGTTGCTTTCTGATTTTTTGAATTGGGCTATCTTTGAGGATGTTAGGTGGTATCTCATAGTTGTTTTAATTTGCATTTCTTTTATGGCTAATTATCAGGATCATTTTCTCATATGTTTATTGGTCATTCAGATTTCAGACTCTGTGAAACTTCTGTTCAGGTCCATTGCCCACCTCCTTAGTGGGCAATTAGTTTTTCTCTTATGGTAAGCTTGCAAAGTATTGTCGATTTTCGTAATAAGGCCTTTGTCTGATGCATCATTGCTAAAGATGTTTTCCCAGTCGGTGGGCTCTCTTGTTACTCTCTTGGTGAATTCTTTCAATGTACACAGGTGGCTTATCTTCAGTATGTCCCACTTGTCTATTTGTGAGTCCTCTGTATTTGTATCCTTCCCTTTTTCCAATAGCCTATGTATCCCCTGTGCCAAGGTTCTCAGGCTTGTCCCAATTCCCTCATTAATGGCCCTAATTGTAGTTTTATCTCAAGGTCCATGATCCACCTTGAGTTGATTCTTGTGCATGGAGTGAGGTAAGGGTCTTGCTTCATTTTTCTGTAGGTAGATATCCATTTTTTTCAGCACCATTTATTGAAGAGGGCATCTGCTTCCCATTTGATATTTTTTGTTCCCTTATCAAAGATCAGTTGCCTGTATGCTGATGTTTTTATTTCTGGGTCTTCAGCTTTTTTCCATTGGTCTGAATATCTGTTGTTATACCAGTACCACACTGTTTTGACTACTGTGGCTGTATAATACATGTTAAAGTCAGGTAGAGCAAACCCTCCTACTTTGTCCTTCTTCTTGAGGAGTTCTGTACTAATTATGGGCTTCTTCCCCTTCCATATGAAGTTGGTAATCAGTTTTTCTAATTCTTTGAAGAAGAATGGTGGTATTTGTATCAGGATAGCATTCAGCTTATATAGTGTCTTGGGCAGAACTGACATCTCTACTATATTGATTCTGCCAATCCTTGAGGATGGGATGTTCTTCCATTTGTTGAGGTCATTCTTGGTTTCTTGTAGTAGTGTTTTATAATTTTCCTCATACAAATCTTTTGGTTTTTTTAAAAGTCAGATATATCCCTAGATATTTCGATTTGTGCTTGGCTATTTATCCAATAGGGAAAGGGTACTACCTTTTTAATCGTCTCGTCTGTGATCTTGTCTGATGTGTAGAGCAGTCTGATAGACTTCTGTTTGTTGATCTTATATCCTGCCATTCTACCATATTCCTCTATTGCTTCCAACACTCCACTTGTGGAGTTTAGGGGATTTTCGATGTATAGAATTATATCTGTGAATGATAATTTTGCCTCTTCCTTCCCCAGATGAATACCTTTGATGTCT